CGATTACAGAAATTCGCCGACCATCAAATTCTGTGCTGACTTACTCCCTGCTCATAGATGTCCTTCCGCTATAAAGTTTAAAATAAGACTAGAATGCGTGAGCGTGAATTGATCAAACGTCCTTTTAATTTCTAAGGCTTACTTTCCGGCAAATGAAAGGAACTAAATGTAAAAAGTGAAATAGAAACAGCGAAAAATTAAACTTCTAATTAAATCTTTTCTTATGGTTTATGTGTCGGTCAAATCGAAGCTACAACATCCCCCCCGGGCATTTGACTTTTTTGAAAATTATTGTTCAAATTCCCCCCTACCCGGGCCAAAATGCCGTTCAAATGCCCCACACTAGGGTCCATTCAGGTGATCAAATACCCCCACCCCGGGGACATTTCACAGGCACAAAAATGACAGAAGGACGGCGGAAACGCCTTCAATTCTCGAACAAAATCTTTATAAATATAACAAAAACTGAGAAACACTGTTAGCCTATTTACTACGAACAAAAGTCTCGTGCAAAGCGGCAGAAATCGCTGCTACAAGGTCACTGAATGCTCAGCTTTTCTTCGTCATGCAACATAAAAAGCCTTCTATAAAAAAAGATCCCACCTACTGAGATTACTACATCATGACCATTTCACTGACGTGCATCATCGCTCACCTTATTAATTAACATACTTGCAGTAGGTCAAAGTAGTTGACCTGAGCTTTTTATTTTATTTTATTTTATTATATGTTGTTGTATTGAATCTCCGGTATTGGTATTGTATTTCATTGTAAACACAACAATAAAATACATTCATACATTCAAAGCCAGAATCCAATATTAAAAATTTTACAGTTTAAATACTTCAAATACGGCACAAAGCTTGTTTAAGCCCTTTCCTTGTAACCAATTGGCCACAAAGGCGCAGTCTTTTCCACGAAAATCCTCTAACACCGCGTCCCCCATGATTGCTCGCCACGCCAAAGATTTTAGATGAAATCGAGGGTGCAGTTCAAATTCCCCACCCCTAACACATGGAGATCAAATTCCCCCCCCCCCCCCCCCCCCACCCCCCAAATTCCCCCCCCCCCCCCCTGGAAGACTCTGATAATCAAATTCCCTCCTCCCTGGGACGGCAAAGGTGTCAAATGCCCGGGGTATGCCCGGAGTATGCCCGGGGGGGCATGTTGAAGCTTCGATTTGACCGATACATGAGAATAGACTATTCTTGAAACTGAGTCTGATTATGTTTTGATCAAAGCTGTGTAAATCGAACCGAAACTGTGCATGGAACCTTGTGTTTATTTCCTGTATTTATCTCACCTATTGTATGAAATATGTGTGAACATCTTGATTATGAATCGGTAGATTTCAAAGAGCTACACAAGGAGCAAGAATACTATATACAGGGCGGGAGCAGCTGTAGTGTCAACTATTACTAGTTATAGGAGCCGGTCTATAGAACGCAGACTATGCAGACTGCAGACTGTGCAGACCGTGCAGACTGTGCAGACTGTGCAGACTGTGCATACTGAGTGTTATTTTTTTTTACTTGTACCTTAATTTTCTAGTAAAATTTTTACTATAGTTTCCCGAAGGAGCGAGAACGATGGAGGAAGGTAAGCTATTTCTTTCTGTAACTGTGTTATGTTGCCACGATTATTTAAATTTTTTTAGTAGAAGAAGCTTTTTCAGGTTAAATGACTTAAAATAAAACCCTTTTAGGCTTCCTACAACGGCTACGAGAGAGACATGTCCTCAATTTCCTTGATTGTTGATGGTCGTCTTTGGTTTCACTCTGTAATTCAAACCGGTGACTAGCCGTCATTTTTTCAAATCTTACAGACACCGTTCCCAGAGGAGGGATACACTTTTGTTCTTGTCATCCATCATGACCGCCATGACGTCAGCTGCAAACCAGCAATAATATTAGTTTCGTCTGAATTTTTAAAGGAGCAACTGTTCATTAGACAGATCTGTAATGAAAAATATTAGATAATTTTTTTTATATTAGCAATCTCAACGCCCTCTTTGTTCTGGAAATATCTGCTCTTTCATTTTTTCATACTTTTCAGAGTCATTTGTTCCCTACTGTGCACCTCTTCTGGAAAGATTATCAAACCAAGCTACTGGCAAAGCGGAAGGATCTTGGTACTGGCCTTGTACTTGCAGGCGAATGTTCGTCACGGCAGTATGGGGCACTGTGCCAGGTTTGGTGCATACACCATATTATGTTGTACAGCCATTCCATCCATAATCCATTTTGCACTTCTACAGGTATGCACAACATGGATGGCTATAATTATCTTTTTGAGCAAAGCAAAAAATTTTTGCTAGGTTTACACTCTTAGATCCACAGTAAATTTCGAAGTATTGTGAACACATGCAATTATTGCAAAGTGGTTAAGGTCACTAAACAAATTTTGATATTTTCCTTTTTCAGAGGAATCAAGCTGGCAACAGCCCTGCAATGGAGTTCATGGTTTTTCAGCTGTGCATGAATCATTGAAGATTATACCCTTACAACAATGCACTTGTCATATCCAGTTCACATTATTATAGTACTGGGTTTAAGGTTTTAGCTAGAAAACAGCTATGTAAGTAATAATAACAGTTGTAGGAGGCAAAATAGTCTTTGGTTAAATCTCTCTTCAATAAATTAATACTTTTTGTGTTTTTTTGTCAATTTTTAAACAGTCAGATGAAGAAACTAATTTCAAAACTTGCAAAAGAGAAAGACAATGAACAGCTCAAGGAGTGGATCTTCACTGGAGAGCTACAACCACACCAAGTGGAAATGGGAAAATCATCTGGGCCAAGTTTAAATCATTCCTAAGTCACATTGTTAACAAATACTCGGACTTAGACGATCCTCTCTTTAATAAATGTGCCCATGGAGAGATTAATGATAGGACATGGCTTCAGACAGGTGAGAAAATCTCCCACTCTAACACTTGTGATAGTCAATTGTTTTCTAATGTGGGTTTGATTTAGACTAAAAGCAGTCTTTCTTTTTTTAGCCTGTAAAGTGAAATGCACAAGATACAAAAATGATTTAGTGTGTGACTCAAGGTGTGAGATGAAAGAGGCGAGAAAAAGTTAATTTTCTCTTCTTGGGCTCTGCCCTCGCTTCTTTCTTCTCCCAGCTTAACGCTCATACCTTTTCCTCAATGGATTTGAAGAGGAAAAAAAGAAAGAAACTGCTCGCAGTCAAGTTTGATTTCTTCCATGTTGTTAAATCAATATCCCTATTTTGTAACACATTCTTTGCTTCTGTGAGAGTGTAGCAAATTTACTCAAATACATACTGTTATTATTTCTGATCTTTACTGTTTTTGTCTTCAACAGATGACAAAGCCTATGAAAGATTATGCAAAGTGCTGACAACAAACAGCCTGAAGAAGGGGATTCAACAGGCATGAACCAATCGACCAAACAGATTGCTTGAAAGGGTTCCATTCTGTACTAAATCAGTTTGCCTCAAAGATGATTGCATATTCTTATGTTGGGATGTTTTGCAGGTAGTTATAAATAATACAGGCATATCAGGGGGAGGGCTGCGATAGGTGTACTTCCTTCAGAAAACGCTCTATTTCCTTTTCTTCCCAATATTTTTATTAAGTATACTCGGGCAGTTGCCAATAAAAATTAATGTTGTTATTTCGGTTCATTCCACTATGCAAATAATGGTACCCTACTGGCTGCTAACATTTCAAGTACAAACATTGTTTAATTTTTTAAAAAATGTTCCAGGCACATTCTAGCTGCACTTCACTTCAATTACAATTTACGCAGAGGAGCAAAGACGAATCCAGATGGAACAGAGAAAGTCAAAGTTGGCTACCCAAAATACAAGAATGGTGAAGCAACCGTCAGGAGTGTCAAGATAGAACAGAATTTTGGTTTGCTGAGTTTGTTTTATTTAAAACATGTATCTTATGCTGTGTTCACACTTGCAGTGTAAACATGATTCGTCAAAACTTTAAATCTTTCTAACGTGGAGCAACGGTAGCAACAGCACCTACATTCGACCAGAAAATTTAAGGTTGGTGAAGAATAACCTGTTGACAGTCCATAGATTCTAAATTTGCCAAAATAGCTGAGATATTTTTAGAAACATGTTTTGGTGCTAGTGTGAACACAGCTTTAGTCAAACAAAGATTGCTTTGCCTATTTCTATTTATTAGTGCACTTTTTAAATAAAGTTTAATTAACTACAGCAGGCAGAAATATTTGGCATATTTGGCAAATCCAGTAAGGAGGACTTGGCTAGTGCTGTGAATGAGCTCAAGGAAATGACCCCACAGCCAATGGTGTCAATGTTTGGCAAACAACCTAAGGAAGCTGCTGTACAAAAGCGAAGTGAAAGGAAGAGAATGGTCACAAAGGAGGTCAGTAGAAGGTAAATAAATACACTTTATTAAAAATTCACTTTTTTAGTGTACATTTCCAATTCTTGGTTATACAAAGAGGAGCGAATCGAACAAAAGAGAATACTATTCACTGTAGTGCTTTCTATTTCTAGGACCAGTATGGCTGCCATTTCATTTGTTCCTGGTTTGCAAACCAGGAATACAATAATATTAGAGGGGGGTCAAAAGGAAGGGAGGGGTGTCTCAGGCCTGTCTTCGCAAGTCCACATCTTTAATATAGGACCTTCCCAATATGGTCAATTGACAGCTGTCAAAACAGGATAGCCACTGACTAGTATCCTATGACCATATCGCGGGCTCATGTGTCAACTCATCGAGGTGACGTGATTTATTTGGAAGCTGCCCGCCGACCAGTTAATTGTTTTACTAGATCGCAATGTTCAATCACATACTTTTAGCTACTGTAGTTTCGGAGCACAGGAAAACTGATAATGCACACATATTAGACATCAATGTTTTGATCAATTGACAGCTGTCAAAACAGGGTACCCGCTGACCGGTATCACTTGACCGTATCGCGGGCTCAGAAGTCGACCCATCGATGTCAAGTATTTTTTGAAGTTATCCGCTGACAAGTTACTACTCAAATGAATGTGAGCTTCAACGGCGTATTGATGACGGAGCAAAGCAATGCCTATCACCACAAAGCCTACGTAGAAAGAATGTTGAATTACAGTCGTGAAGAAGGAAAAACCACCCTGGCTGCTCAAGGATGGGTCAATGAACTGAATGTGCGTGCTTCATTAACCCCTACCAATGCTGGTACTAATGATAAGCCCAATCCCAGTGACTGGGATGGAAAAACAGGGCTCAAGGCCTTGACCCGCCGTTTGCTAGGCAAAACGTATCATACCTTTATGATCAAACCTCATGTGGCTGTCTTCAGAACAGGCAAATGTCTTGTGCCAGGAGTTCAAATTGATCTAGAACTCTATTTGAACGACAGTAACCTGTTTCTCTTTGGAACGCCAGACACGACCACCTCCGTAGGCAAAAAGATTCCCACCCTAGAAGACAATGACATCTTTGTCACTCTCTGGATGAAAAAAGTCACTCTCAATGCCTCCGTGTATACCAGACTGCAGAAAGAACGTAGCCTTAGTAAAACCAAGAAAGTACAATATCCTGTGGTTCGCAGTGAAATCAGAACCTATTCGTTTGATGGCAATAGCACCCGTTGGGAACAAGACAATGTTTTCGTGAACAAAATTCCTGGGAAGGTCATTATAGGATTAATGAATTCCACCAATTACCATGGAAGTCTGCAACACTACCCCTTTGCCTATCAAAAGTTTGGGGTGACCCGAGTCCGACAGACGATTGACGGCGAAGAGTACCCGTACAGATCCCTGGAACTCACAGGCAATACCAAAGCAGAAGATTTGGTAGGGTATGACCGATTCCTTACTGCCTCTGGGGCCTACAAACATCATAAAATACCTATGATGCGGCCAGGGGATTGGGGACAAGGCAAAAATTGCACCCTGTTCATGTTCAACAATGTTCCAGGCGATGCAGATGACCCTGAGTACAGAAATCCCAGACTCACAGGCAATGTCCGCTATGAAATTGACTTCCGGGCAGCGGTGGGTCACAACATTACCGTGGTGATCTGGAGCGAGTATGAAAATATCTATGAAATAGACCAGTGGGGCGGAATTCTTTATTCTGTCAACAGCTAAGATGGAGTTCGTAGCTCTGAGTGATACGGTCCTGAACCACTTAGCCAGACAAGATCCTGACTTGAACAAAGTGTTTCGAGGGGTGTTTCCAGCGGACAAGTTACCGACCGTTCCCAAAACGAGAGTCTTGAGTGATGCTTACATTGTCAACACAGACCCCGAAGGTCAACCTGGGGAACATTGGTTAGCTATTTGGACGCGAAACCGAGTGTGTGAAGTCTTTGATAGTTATGGTTTGCCCTTATCCACTTACAAGAACCCACAGTTACAAGCTTGGTTCAAGCAATGGAAAGAAGTCATTACCAGTGATCATACCCTGCAAGCCATGGACAGTCAAACCTGTGGACATTATGCGCTCTTGTTTTTAAAAGCCAAAGCCAGGAATGAATCCTTTCAAGATTTTTTAGCGCAATGGAACTCGCAAAATTTAGTATTAAATGATCGTCGTGCGGGTGAAAAGATTCAACGTCTAATTAAGACACAGCTGTCGAGAAAAGAATTAAGTTGTCAACAATCCAATGTAAGCCGTTGCGCCTTTTGCTATTTTTATGATTTACAATAAATATGTGTACCCAACTCTGTGTCTTTCATTCTTGAACATGTTAACCCGTGGGGATGAGCAAAACGCCATAGAGGGATTGGCTTTTACGCAAGCCCATATCTATTTGTTGTATCAATGGTACTGTCATTGTCATTGGCCCTTGGGTACTTTACAAGACTGGGTGGAGATTATGACCCTTGCCAGATCTCATCAATGGTCTGCATTAAACACCTTTCTGTTGGACAAACCAGTCCTTAAAAAGGTGGTGTTTACTACCCTAGCCTTAGTCTCTCCCAGACTGTATCGTGTGTACTTTCAGCATGATTACACGTCAGGATTCCCGTCGAGTCTATGAGGCCTTTGCCAAAGCCAAGGTACTGTATATGAGTCAACATCCCTGGCAGAATTTTGACCAAGACCAATGGGATGAGTCTCATTGGAAGCAGGCGGTTCAGTTGGCTCAACAACAAGCTTGGGAGGCCATGAAACACTATATTGAATGGATGGGCGACACCTATTTAAGAGAACACATGCAACTGATTGTTCAATTAGCTTCTCCGCGTTTGTATCATACACTATGGGGCGAAAACGACGCACTGTGAGGCGAACACGACGCCAACGTCAAAAAGGGGGCGCCCGATTTAAAAGAAAACCCCGTTTAGTGGATAAAATTGCCGAAGGCGTAGCCATGGGTTTATCGGGACCCTCTCCCAGTTTTGCTAAAATGGGTGCTTTTTTAGCCAAGCAAGCTTTCAAGGGTATAAAAGACAACGTCCGTCATTATCAGAGAGGCAAAGGACTTGGCACCGTCTTATCCACAGCCGCCAAAATTGGGTATAAATTGGGCAAGGACAAAGGCTATAAACGTATGGGTGCAGTGGGAGCGACTGGTCATTACACTCACTTTCGTAAACCGTGGGAAACATGATTCGTCAACCTGCTAGTGTAATTATTGCCGGCCCGTCTGGGTCTGGCAAGAGTGAATTGGTCGAAAACCTCTTGAAAGAGAAAAAACTGTTTTATCCCCCTCCCCAAAAGATGGTTTACTGCTACGATCGATGGCAACCACGTTTTGATCGCATGAAAAAACACTCCAACGTTCACTTTTACAAAGGTCTTCCTCCTGAAGGAGCGTTAGTCAAATGGTTTAAACCTGAACATCATGGGATTCTCATTCTCGATGATCTGATGGAGGAATCGGGCAATGATAAACGCGTGTTGGATTTATTTACCAAAGATTCTCATCATCGTGGTATTACCGCCTTGTATCTAACCCAAGATCTCTTTCCTCCCGGCAAATTTGCCAAAACCATCAACCGCAACGCGCATTATGCTATTTGCTTCAAAAGTCCTCGTGACAAGACGGGCATCCGTAACTTGTTGCTGCAAGTGTATCCAGACAAATGGCGACGAGTGCTTCAATTATTTTTGAGGTTGACGGCTGGCCCCTTTGGATATTTTATGTTGGATTTACATCCAGCCTCCGACGATCGTTTTCGCGTATGGAGTCATTTAACCCAACGTGAGGGGAAACCTCAGGTCCATACGTTTGACGAAGATATAAAAGGCGATTCATTCACGAGCGATTCATTAACCATGGCCAAAGGACGATAACGACGGAGAGTGTTGGCAAAAAAGCGGAAACCTGGGCTGGGAAGACAACGTGGAGGGATAGCTCCCTTCTTAGCAGCAGCTATTCCTGCCTTAGTGGCTTGAGGGAAAGCGGCAGCCATGGGAGGACTCGGCGCTGCGGCCAATTATGGGACCATGAAAGCTTTACATGCCTTATCCAAACAGAAGTATAAAAGGAAACGCAGACCCCAAAGGAGGACTAAAGCACGATGACGGGGCGCATGACACGACAAGGAGCCCTTTTAAAAGATGTCTTAAAGGAAGCCAACCAAAACAAACGTCAACAACAACTTCGCTATGCCAATGCAGATCAAATTAATGCTGTGAGTGAATTAGTCATGAATACCTTCCATGGGGCTATTCGTCCTGGCAGAAAAACTGTGTCCAAATTAAAACCTTACAGCAAACAGCTTCGCCTGATTGCAAGTCCCCGTCAGAGTATAAAAAGAAGACGTCACCTCATGATTCATCAGTTAGGCGCAGGTGTTTGGAGTGAGTTAAAACGTTTCTACCATTGTGCTAAGAACGGCTACCGCTATTGAGATGAAACAAGTCCTGTTCCAACGACTGCTTAGTGTGCTAGAAGGGTTGATGACGTTGGTCACCCTGTTGAAAAACCTTCACCAAAGCATGAAAGAAAAATATCCCAAGAGGTGGGGATCTAAAAACGTATAAGTATGCCCCTGGGACTTTGATGTTCATTCATTGCTGACCATGGACGGTATTAGTAGCACGCCCGCGGAAAACTCTGTTCAATTTTTACGGCTAAGGGATAAATACAAATCAGACCTCTTAGATGATAGTCGTCTGACTAAAGCAGCGGGTTTACCGGCCCAACAAGAACTGTTGCTGGAAAGTCCTGCCCCCGATGCCTGGAAAGAACCCCGTTTGAAATCCGTGAACCGACAGTTACGACAATGGACCACGAAAATTCGTCAGCCTGGGGGTATACGCGCTATAGGGCGTGATGATGACGACACAGATGATGACGATGCCAATAATTTAGCAGGGGGTCCCATACAACAATTTAGGAGTAATATTGCTAAGATTCGGAAGGGTATAAAAAGGAAAGCCACGACCCGTAACGTACCACAAACAGCCGTGACACCGGCTATTAAACAGTTGCCCAAGACTCCGGAAAGCAGGAAAAAACCCAAGTTTTCCTTTAAAACTGGATCGAAAGGAAAGCGTTTGTTACCGAAGACACCTAAAAGGAAAAAGTCTGCTTCGTCTACCTTCAAGACCCCTGAAAAGTCTTTGGAAGAATTAGCTACAGAATTACCCTTTTCAGACCAGTTAGGCGCATTGCCTTGGGAAACTCCGGGTGAATTAGCCAGAGACAGTCTCAGAGCCATAAGAAGACGTACACGCAAATCCCAGAGTGAGGAACGAAAAAAAGAAGGTTTAAAACAAACTGTGCTGAAAAAGGCCGCCGAAAAAGCTTTGAAACAGTTAGCCCCAGCCCCTGGGTGGAAACCCTTTGGTACTCCGACTAGACGCAAACTCGATGGCAAAGACTGGTAAACGGAAACGTTCAAGACCCCGTAGTAAGAGACAGCGAGGGGCGAAATTTGATTTTCAAAAAGCCGTTGAGAAAACAGGCATGGAGTTTCACATTCCCTCGTACCGATTTGCTGGCCCTGGAACCAAATTAGCCAAACGTTTGAAACGCGGTGACAAGCCGAAAAACAGGTTAGACCGAATTGCCATGGATCATGACATTGCCTATAGCAAAGCCAAAAATTTGCAAGATAAATGGAAAGCGGATGACGTCATGATCAAAGCCATTGATCGTTTACCCGGGAAAAAGACCATGACCGAGAAAGTCGTCAAGAAAATCATGCAAGCCAAGAAAAAACTCAAATTGTAATCTGCGTGTGTTTTTTATTTCAATAAACAAAGAGTGTGCACACAATGTCTGTCTCGTGTTAATCTTGTCTAACTGTAACATGAGCACATATTGACTTTCCGATTGAAACTTGACCAGACTGCCATCCAATTCTTTGACGGTGATTTCAATGTCTTCCCATCTTGGGTGTCCACCCTCTATTTATACCCTGACCCAACAACAACAATAACATCACACAGAGATTGTATCTCGAACTTAGTTTATTTCTACATTAAACCTCCCTATCGATTTAATGTTACAACACTTCGACAATGGCGCCCAAAAAACAAAAGCCAAACACACTTAGCCTATGTACAATGCTTCAAAAAGAAAACCTCTATTTATAGCTCTGATAACATGTCGACCTCGCCTTGAATGCGAGCGTATCCATACGGATAGGACTTACGAGTGGCCCTATCGACAACTCGTTTATCGAACACTAACCCGTACTTTTTCTCCCTTTCAATCAATCGAATTCTCTTGTTGGTTTG